CCCCAAAACCCCAAAACCCCAAAACCCCTTAGTAGCTAGATTTATGATTAAAAGTCTGAACATAAAAATTATAATTAACAAAGAAAATACATATGGAGCCTTCCTCATTATACTTAAGTTCTGAAGATTCTAGTGTAGTTTCAGAAGTTGCTGGTGATAGTGATCCTAATAACCCCATTCAAGATCCAGTACCTCAAGATTTCAAACCAGAGATGAAGAAGGTCAATCAAATCATAGCATATCTAAATAAGCTGGAGAATTACCTTGAAAATTTAGATAGTGAATCTGGAGATGAAGAGGATACTTCTATTATAGCATGAAAACAACTACTAAAAACAATTAAGGAAAATATAGAAACTCAATGTAAAAAATTAAAGGAAAAAATCTTAAAGAACCCAAAATATATCAACTGATATAAAAACTTGTCTAAAATATTGGAAGAAATCGAAACTAATGAGGTCATCCAAAAAATAAGTTCTAAAATGCATTTAGAGCAATCTCTCGAAGCAGACCAAGATACTAGTAATAAATTGGAAGAAGAGAAGAAGGAAATTTCTAAAGAAGTTAAAGAACTCAAAAAGAAGCAATATCTCGTAAATAGAATTGTGAATGGGGTCAAAAACAATCGCATTGCAGATGAAGACCTTGAAAAATTAAAGACATTATCAAATGAAAGTGAGCGCAAGCTATTTGATATTAGTGATAAACAAACCCATTCAAACCAGAGAAATTTAGATAAACTTACTGAAAAGCACAACGGCTCTAAACATCCGAAATCCTTAGCAAATGCTCAAAGGAAAAGGAAAGAGCAAGGAGAGCCTAGAGGAAGAAGACATGGAAAAAGACAGAAATTACAAGAGAATGAAGAAGATTTTCAGAAGCCTTATATTAACAAGAGGGAAAGTAATTATCCAAGAGAAGAGACAAAAGATGATTATCATTATCGAGCCTGTAACCCAGGATATCTAAATCACAAAGATAAAGAAAAAGATTCTGAAGACAATGATCCATCAGATAAGATAGATTTTAAGGAAAATCTTGATAAACCAATTGGTCCTAATCACTCTGAAAGAGGATTATTGTAAGTAATAAAATCGATTATTCAAGCAACAGAGGGTTATATTCCAATATCATATTGATCATTTATTTGAGGTTAAAGCTAGAATTCTTCAAATTTAAATTCCGACATTGTGCATTAAACATAGAAAATAGAGCGACTGTAATTAACTTTAGAGGTAATTCTTATCCTCCAAAAGAAGGAACAGATGTTTCTTATGACTTATCAAACACTGATGACAATGATTTCATTACAAATTGCAAAGAAAAGCTACCTAATCTGAAATCCCTTGAATTAGTATTGACCGAAATTGTGGGTCAGAAATTTGGCGACTTCATCACTGATTATTTTCCTGAAAAGGTTAACTATTTAAAGTTTTCAGGAAAAAGAGGAATAACAAAGATGGCATTGGACACTTATGTTTCCTTGATAATACTAGCGAGCAAGGCCACAAGAGAAAAGTTAGAAATTTTTAACTTTACTGTTAAGGAGGAAAACTTTTCACAACTACTTGCTGTATGTAGAAAAGGAAAACAAGTTTATTTGTCATCTTGCAGTATCGAAATCAAGCCCAACACTGACTTCAACACCTTAAGATCCTCCCTCGAATCACAAGGCCTGACTCTAAACCCTGGTTGCTTCCTCTCCAATCCAAGCCCCGTCAGCTCCTTCAATCCCTTCTTCCAATTCAGCAACGCTGCAGCCCCAAGTGGCCAATCTTCCTCAAAGAAAAGCTTTTTCTAGTACAAAAAATTGAACTTAGAGTCCACAGTTGGAGTAAAGTACTAGTGATAGTCGAGTAGTTTCTTCAATTAGGTGATGGCTGTTAGGGGTTTTGGGGTTTTGGGGTTTTGGGGTTTTGGGGTTTTGGGGTTTTGGGG